AAATTTCCAACTATTTGCATATGTTTTGTGTTTCTTTTCAAATGTTGCAACTTTGAATGCATGTTTTGGCGAGCTAACCAGCTTGGCTACACATGGCCCTGCCAACCTTCTGTAGCCGAGATAACCATCTCGGTCGAAGAATGCTAAAAACTATTGGCCAAACATGACGACCTTTTTTGGCCGACATAATCATCTTGGTCAAAGAGTGCCAAAAATTTTTGGTCAAACTTGCCAACCCTCTATAGCCAAGATAACCATCTCGGTCAAGGAGTGCAAAAATTGGTCAAAATTGCTAACCTTCTCTGGTCGAGATAATCATCTCGGTCAAAAAGTGCATAAAATTATTGGCTGAACCTGCCAATCCTCTCTGGCCGAGATAACCATCTTAGTCAAGGAGTGTAAAAGATTGTTGGTCAAAAATGCCAACCCTCTCTAGCCAAGATAACCATCTCTGTCAAAGGGTGCAAAAACTTATTAGTCAAACCTGCCAACTCTCTCTGGCGAGATAACCATCTCGGTCAAGGAGTGCAAAAACTTGTTGGTCAAACCTGCCAACGTTCTCTGGCCGAGATGATAATCTCGGTCAAAGAGTGCAAAAACTTGGTTACACCTGCCAACTTTCATTGGCCGAGATAACCATCTCGGTTAAAGAGTGCAAAAACCTGTTGATCAAACCTGCCAACCTTCTTTGGCCGAGATGACCATCTTGGTCAAGGAGTGCAAAAACTTTTTGGTCAAACCTGCCAACCTTCTTTGCCCCTAGTCTTGCAAAGATTTTAAGAAGGGGTTGGTCAAACCTGCCAACCCACTTTGCCCCTAGTTGAGCAAAGATTTTTAAACAATCGAAATACATACAAGTATTGAAAATGTGTTCAAAATGAAATTGTCTACTTGTTTTATTAAATTTGAACAAATAGTTGTAAAAATACAAGTACAAAAAGCTAAAAATAGAATATTTTGAGATTGGTTGTGTTCCATGGCCTTGGGATAGCTCGGTCATCAGTGTCCTCCAAGTGGTAAGCTCCCTTTCCTGCTAGCCCCGTAACTTTGTACGGTCCCACCCAGTTGGGTCCTAATTTGCCATCACTAGGCACCAAAGTGTTTCCCATTACTTTATGTAGTACCCAATCTCTAATCTTGAATTGCCTTGGATGCACCACCTTATTGTATTTTCTGGATAATTATTGCTGATACGAAGCGATGTGAATCAGTGCCCTTTCTTTTCGTTCTTCGACTAGATCTAGCTCCAAGGCTATTACTTCTCCATTCAGCTCTGGGTCAAAATTTTCACTTCTAATAGTGGAGAGGCCGACTTCCAAAGGGATTATTGTGTCCATGCTATAGGCCAAGGCAAAGGACGTTTCCCTAGTTGATCGTCTTGGTATTATTTGATAGACCCACAGGACATGGGGTAGTTGTTCAACCCACTTTCCTTTTGCTTTTTCTAACCTCTTCTTCAAGCCATCTAAGATCACCTTGTTCGATGCTTCAGCCTAGCCGTTGGCTTGGGGGTACACCAGCGTGGAGTTGTAAAATTCTATTTTGTGTTCTTCGCAAAAACCCTTGAAGATTCTTCCATCAAATTGGGTGTCGTTGTCTGATATCAGGTCCTTGGGAATTCTGAACCGGGTTATGATGTTCTGCTAAACAAACCTCTTGACGTCTTTCTCCTTGATGGATGCGAGTGCCTCCGCCTCCACCCATTTTGTAAAGTAGTTTGTTGCCATGATTAAGAACTTTCTGGTGCCTAGCGCAGTTGAGAGTGGTCCCACTATATCTAAGCCCCACATTGCGAAAGGCCAAGGGCTGGTCAGAGGTAGAAGCTCTTTAGCTAGCTGATGGATTTGATGTGCTAACTTCTGACATTTTTTGCATTTCTTAACATACTTCTTTGTGTTTGCCTGCGTGTATCGCCACCAATACCCTTGTGAGATAGCTCGGTAGGCCTAAGATCAACCCCTTTGGCGGCTTCTACAAATGCCCTTGTGAATTTTGAACAAAAATGCCTCAACCTTGCTAGGATGGACACATTTCAAGTATAGTCCAGTGAAAGATTTGTTGTATAGCGCTAGGAATGGAGGAAGCCAAAACCGTTGCGACGTTGCTCGAATCTTGTTCACCTCCTTCTTGTCCTCTGGCAAAATCCTATCTTTCAAGAAGGTGATGATGGGGTCCATCTAGGAGGGATCTAGCTTGGTGCATAGTACCTCGGCCGCTTCAGGTTCCTCAATGCTTGGTCTTAGCAAGAAGTCAATTAGCAAAGGGTGTGGGATAGAAGTGTCTGCCATCGACGCCAAACCAGCCAGTTCATCTGTTGTGCTATTCTCTTCTCAGCCAATTTGTTCTATCCTCATGACTTCGAATTTCATAATCTCGTTTCTGACTAGCTTTTGATACTTGGCCATTCTGTCATCCTTTGCTTCATAGTCGCCAGATATTTGGTTGACTACTAATTGGGAGTCACTGTATACTATTAGCTCGGTGGCCTTCATCCGGTGGGCTGACTTCAGACCGACTAATAGTGCCTCGTACTCCACTTTGTTATTAGATGCTGGAAATCTAAGTGTGATTACTTGTTCAATGGTTAAGCCGTCTGGCGAAATAAGGACTATGCCAAGTCCAGCCCCATACCAGTTTGATGCGCTATCTACGAATAGCTTCCACATCTCTTCTACAAACAATTTCCAACATGTGGATGGATCTAAAGATGCTTTAGGGTCTAGGACATTGGTGATTTCTTCCAAGTCTTTAGCCATCGTTCAGATCTGGTCCTCATTGCTCGGCTGCTTTACTATTTCCTTTTCATGCATGTCATCGCAAATTGTGCTTCTATTTGTGTGGCTTGCTCCTTTTCTCTTTGGCAATATGCTGTTGGCCTCTGAGGATGGTGTAGCCACTGTTAGGCTTAACGGCGTGTTGCACGGTTAACCAGGTTGATATAGGGGCTGCTCAATTCCTCCAGCACTTTCTCCCCATTGTTAGGCTTCCTCAGTCAGGTCAACCAGACAAACAGAATGACTTCCTGGGGTAAACTTTGCCACAAAGTCTGCCAAAGCTTGGGCCTTAATCGCCATCCTAGGTTGGAATTTGATGTCGTATTGTCCAAACTCCACTGCCCATTTCAGTGTTCTTCTAGAGAAGTCCGTCTTTTCAAACAAGGCTTTTAGAGGGAACGCCGTTAACACGACCATAGTGTGTGAGTGGAAGTAGTGCGACAACTTTCTTGAAGCTACCATTAGGGCTAAAGCAAGCTTTTCTAATGACAAATATCTCATTTCGGTGTCCAACATGGTCTTGCTCACATAAAAGATGAGCAAGTGTTATATTCATTTCGCACATACCAACACCGCGTTAACGACATATTGAGAAACCGCCAAGTACAAGAAAAGTTCCTTTCCAGGCACTAGGGTTGCTAACAGTGTTGGCGAGGTCAGATACTCCTTTAGTCTCTTTAGAGCTTATTCGCACTCTTCATCCTACTGAAATTTTGCTTTAAGCGCTTGGAAGAACGGTCGATACCTATCTAACAACCGACTGATAAATCTGTTTAGTGTGTCAGCTAGGCTTGTCAAGTGCTGCAATTCCTTGACCGTGTTAGGCCTTTTGAGCTCTTGAACAGCCTTAATTTGGGAGGGATCTGCTTCTATACCACAGTTGGTCACTAGAAAGCCAAGAAACTTGTCTAACCCCACCCCAAATGCACACTTAGAGGTGTTTAGCCGCAACTTGTAGGTCTTCAAGATTTGAAACATCTCAGCTAGGTTGTTAAGATGGTCTGCTTTATCCTTACTTTTGACCACCATGTCATCAATGTAGGCTTCCACTGTTTTGCTTGACAATGGTTCAAACATTTTGGTGACCATTCACTGGAATGTTGCCCTCACATTCTTCAAGCCAAAGGGCATGACCTTATAACAATATAACCCCCTCGGAGTCGTGAAGGATGTGACCTCTTGGTCCAGTTCATATATAGCAATCTAATGGTATCCACGATACGCATCGAGAAAACTAAGTCGGTTGTGACCTGCAGTTAGGTCCACTAGTTGGTCTATCCTTGGTAGAGGGAAACTATCTTTTGGGCATGCTTTGTTGACTGTCTTGTAGTCCATGCAAACCATTTACCATTTTTTTTGGGCACCACCACAGTGTTGGGGATCCACTTGGGATAGTGAACCTCTTTGATTGCCCCTACTTCCAGCAGGTTTCCCACTTCTTCAGCCACTACTCTGCATGGTGTAGCATCGATCTGCGAGTCCGTTGTATAATTGGTCTAGTGGTGGGGTAGACATTAAGTTAATGGTAGATGAAATTTGGGTAAATGCCAAGCATATCATATGGCGTCCAGGAAAACACTTAGATATTGGAGATCAAAAATTCTATGAGCTCCTTTCTCTCGGTGCTAGACAAGGATGAGCCGAGAAAACCTAACTTCTTTGGGTCATTCTTGTCAATTTTTAAGCATCACTTGGACATAATATGGTCTCCCAAGACCTCTTTAATTACGCCAACTTCGTTAAGGAACCACATTACCTGATGGTAGGTCGATGGAACGGCTCGCCTGACATGCATCCATGCCCTCTCCAAGATGATGTTATAAGTGGAAGGGACTTTCAACACCCAGAACTCCACTTGCTTTGTCATTGAGCCAGCTTGAGCCAGCTTTGACCGGAAAAATGATCTTGCCAACCAGCCATCCTGGCATCAAGTTAAAATCGACCAGTGGGGAAGTCGCGGGTACCAAATCTTTGTCCTCCAATTTCAATTGTTTGAAAGTCTCATAGTGCATTATCTCGCATGAGCTCCCCTAGTCTATCAATATCATTTTAATATCAAAATTTTTGACGCGCAAAGTAACCACTAGTGCATCATTGAGAGGGTACTGCAACCTCGCCAAGTCCCTATCTGAGAAAGTGATGGTATTCCCTTTCTTTATGGTATTGGACTCTCAGCACTTCCCTCATGTGCTCTGCCTTTTTGATCATCCCTCTGAGTTCGTAGACTCACTTAAGTTCAATGATCCTATGAATTAGATTTATCACGCCTTGAGGCGGGCCATTTGCCGGCATCCCATCTGCCACATTGCCATCTTGAAAAGCAGGTTGAGCTCCCCCTTCAATGTACTGATCTAGGTGGCCTGTTGCCACCAATTCTTTCAAATGTTGCCTCAGAGACGTGCAATCTTCAGTTTGGAGCCCAACTTCGTCATGGAAGGTGCATCTATATATTTCGTCATAGCCCCTTTGCACTTCACCCAACTTGACCAGCCGTCGAACGAAGGGTTCATCGTGGATCTCACTTAATATTCGGTAGATAGGTTTCTTGAACGCCGTTGTGATGGCGGTGCAGACCCTTAGCCTCCTTGCTTTGGGGTCTTCACCGCGATTATTTCTACATGGTCTATCCTTCCTCTCGACTACGTTAACTTTTGTTGGGGGCTTTTTTTCTGACATCGTTGTTGTGCAGGACTTACCCTTGGCATGAGCGTTGTCTTTTTCTACCCGGATATGTTGGTGCACTCTCTCCATTAAGGCTTTTATAGTAAGGGACGACGTCATTGTCATTGAATCCCTCAACTTGCAGTTCGTTGGAAAACCTCACTTGTACTGTGCGATAGCTAGGTTGGTGGGGCAGTCACCTATCTGGTTAAAGGTCTCCCAATAGCTGTTATTGTAGGACTTCAACGTTTTTTTTTTCCGTCCATGTCGACGGCGAGCAACTGGTCTATCTCCACTAGCGTCTTGGTGTTTGTCTTGAACTTGGTGACAAACACCTCCGTCAGTTGCGCCCATGAAGCAATGCCGCCTTCAAACTTCTCAAACTAAGTCAAGCCCAATTTGCTGAGGCTTGACGGAAATAGGATGCACATTAGAGCTTCATTCCATCAATATATGGCCATAACTTGACGGAAGTTGCTTAGGTGCATATAGGGATCTGACTTTTCGTCATAGGTCGTGAACTTAGGCTGGTTAAAGCCTAACGGCAGTGGTGCGTTCTCAATCGCCAGAACAAACGACGAGCTCTGCAGCCTTGCCAACGCTTTGTCAGCTGGTTTATAAGCATAACATGATACTAGCATTCCAACCTTAACGCTTCCGTACATCTGAGGTGCCAACTGTTACAAAGCTGAGACCTTATGAGGGTCACAGGCTTGGGCGTCTTCTCTCCTTTGCACCCTTTTTTCTAGAACGGTTCACAAGTCCACCGACCAGGGCAACTCAGTGTGTCTAGAGGTAGTTTGGTGAGTATGCGAGGGTCGATAATTGCTTCCCTTTGGGTAAGACCATTAAGTCCTCACTCTCTCAGACCTAGAGTCACAAGTCCTGGAAGTTCTTGAATATGTATCACTTGTTCTGAGGCTCCTGCTCCTAGAATAGATAGGCATGGCCTGCCTATCCCGATGTCCTGTATAGCGAGAATGCATTCTTCCTTCGCGGCTCTCAACCCCTGCAACACCTTTGCCCTTTATATGTCGCTTCATAGTTTCCATGTTTGCTACCATTCTTCTGATTAACTCATTTTGCTCCCTCACACAATCCTTTAAGACTTGGGCATCCATCTTGCAACTTTGTCCATCTGGGCTCTGAGAGCAACGGGGACTTCAGCCCCATTTTTCTTGAGGCGCCCTAATGAGGGTTCCGTCGCTACGGGTCCAGGTCTGCCATGGGCGGAACATGAGGCAAATCATCACGCCTCATGTTCCCTTCTAGAGTTTTCCTGTTGACGGTAGATTAAGGCAAGTCTTCATTGTGCGCCATTGGAACTAGTTGGAGGAAAAACTCAAGCGAGATGGCATAACTCTTTGCTCGGCTATTACTGTGCTCAACTGAGCTACCCTGCTTTGTTCTACTTCTAGTCGAGCTGTGCTAATCCTGACCAAAGAGTAGTGCTTTGCTGAGCTACAGCTAGCTCGGCTTCATTCCTTGAGGTCACCTCAGTTCGCTCCATTTCCCTAGCCGAGCCGTACACTCAGCCAACTGACATCGAGCTCAGTATTCCTCACCAAAGCCCCCTCGGACTTCTGTATATGACATGCACATAATTAGCTAGTTCCAATTCCATTCAATCCCCAATCGAGCTACCCAAGCTCTTACCTCGGCCCAGTGCTTGGCCCAACTAGTTCAACCCAATTAGCGCGGCTTAATTAGCGCGGCCCAATTTGTTCATACAAATTACCCACTCAATATACATACAAAGTGGTGGTTGTTCTCAGTGAGGGAATACTTTGTTGAGGGAAATAAAAAAAGCTTGGTAACTTTTGAAGTTGGGTTTATGATTGGGGAAGCCAGATATGACGCTTAGGACCTATGGGTTTCGTAAGCAATACCGAGTTTGGGTTGGGGGATGTGGTCAATGTGGGTTTTGGTGAGGGTGGTGGGTGAGAAATAGGGGTGTTTAGCACACTGAAAAGATTTGTACCAATGGTAGGGGTGATTAAGGAGCAACATCAAGTCAAGTCTTCTTTTCCAAAGAAGAAAAGAGCACCAACTGTTTGAGATAAGATTGGTCAGTGAAGTGTATAACTTGGATTACCAAGAGCACTGGTTGCAACCTTTGGATAAAAGTCTATTATTGCAAGAGCAGTCCAAAACATATCTGAAAGAAGTTAAGCTTGCTAACCATAGACCCACCACTTGGCAAACAATTCAACAGCTTTGTTGAAGTTTTGTTCCTTCCAAATTATTTGAAAGTTTATCTAGTATTACTGCCTTTTTTTAAGTCTCAACATTCAACATTTAAATTTCTTAAATTTATGTGTCTTCATTAATTTATTGAACTTGGAGGTTACTTCTCTATTACAATTTTAAATTTCTTGTCCTAGAATTTCGCTTAATGCAATTTTGTTGGAGATTTCTTAAAAGCTTCAAAGCTTAATGCAATTTTGTTGGAGATTTCTTAAAAGCTTCAAAAGTTTAATTATTTAATTATTTATTTATTTATTTATTTATTTTAATAGTCTTATTTATTTGAATTTTAAATATGTGTTTGGTTTCAAAAGCAATAGGTGTGTTTGTTCCTAATAGACACCATAGAGCCTTTTTATACAGGACTCTAACATTGGGAAAAATATACAACACTCTCTGTTCTCTCTCTCTCTCTCTCTCTCTCTCCTCTTTACTGTATTTTTGTATTCCATATTTCTAGAAATCGATACATTCTTGGCAAATTCTTCTAGTGCAACTGTGCATTGTGTCAAATCCTGTAAAGTTTTGGGTTCTATCTTGGAGTCATTTGTGATCGTTAAAACCTGCACGAAAACAACACATAAATGATGAATTTCAAGGAATATGAGAATTGTTGTTCATTTTGGAAATTATTGTTCAAAACGTTGAAATAGTCTTGAAATGACTAATTGTTGAGGATACTTGAGAAGAGGGAATTGTGTTATTCCTTGGACGATGAATTAGAATAAAATTATTTATATTCATCTTGTGTTATTGACATATCAATTCATTTGATTACATTAAACTTTGAAAGTTGATTTGAAAACTTGCATTGAGAAAAGAATGTTGAGAAACAAGTTTCCATGAATTGGTTTTGGGGTAAATACGGTGGTAAGTCTTGACAGGTGGTGTAGATGAAATTGAATAGGTGTCGAGCTTTCCAGTTAATACTAATAAAAATGACAGATTATAGGTGTCGAGCCTTCCAGTCAATGTTGGTAAAAATGACAAATTGGTAGTACTTGTATAGTCTACTTGCAGACACCTACCTAGGGATTACCAGAGTTGTACTTACCGCCCTTGAAATAAATTGTTAAGTTTTGAACAATTGAAATTGCATGACATCATTGAGCATGATGGTTTTCAAAAGATAAAAATGTGATTTATCTTCAAAAAGGGGCATAGCATGGCATGTGCATTTCATCTCTTGAGACTTGTATAAAATGTTTATACTTTGTTAAAGATTTCCTACTGGGCTTTATGCTCACCCTACGGGATTATTGTACAAGAAAAGATGTGGTGATACTGCCTAACTAAAGGCGAGGAAATGTGTGTTGAGAGTACGAGACTCTCATTTTGCCGTGACTCTGTGTAAGCCAAGGGCTATATGTGTGTGGGTTTGAATAACCGTTTTGTGTAACTAGGCTCAAGCCTTGGAAACTTGTAAACCCTTAGGGGTATTTATTTGTTTATTTACTTGTTGTTGGGTTAATGTATTGTTGCATGAAGAACTATTGTATCATGTAATGTAAGTTTGAAGATTTATATTCGTTTCTCCTTAAAAGTGCCATGATTGTTGTATTATCACTTAGGCTAGAAATTTGGGGCGTTACAACTTGGTATTAGAGTTACCGGGTTTGAATACTTGGAACTCGTGGGAAGTGGTTGTTTAACCATAATGGGTTCATTTAGCATGTTTAGGAAGTATTATGCATTTTGTGACTATGTTATAACATGCTTATGTGACTAAATCGGTATGGGATTGGACGTTTGGGATGTTGTTTACGCTTGTTAAATTCTTTGATGTCTCATTAGAAGGGTACTTGATCAATACTCGTTCTCCTAAGAATTCTTGATTTTTCGTGGGATGGATTTCATCGTAAAAGGATAGTCCGTATGTGTTTACATGACTAAGTGCTTATGTGGAGTGAAATTGAATTGTGTATATGGTAGAGAAATATATAGAATTGTTGTAGTCAAACGTGTGAGTCAAGTTACAAGCACATATGAGTTAATGTGCTAAATTATTTCTCTTGTGTCCTTTATTAGGATTTCAGGAAGGGGCCAAGTCCGTGGTGGTAGAGGCAGGAGGCGTGGTAGGGCTCGCCGAGGTGTGCATGAGGTACCAGTCCATAGGGTTCCGGTGCAAGAAGAAGGATTCGGCCAAGCTAATATGGCCGAGCAAGCAGGCCAAGCTAATATGGCCGAGCAAGTGGGACAAGCGGGTCAAACCACAATGGGGACCCTAGCTTGAGAAATGGCAGCAGCTTAAAGAGAGTCTATGAACTTGTTAAAGGTGGAGAATCAAGCCTAAGAGAACACCGCGGAGTCAAGGATGGGTTTCCTTACTAGAGAGTTCTTGCGGGCCAAACCGGATGAGTTCCATGGTAGCCCCGAGCCCAAGAAAGCGGATGAGTGGCTCGAACAAACTATGAAGACATTTGAGATGCTTCACATTGAATATAATGAACTAAGAGTGACTCTAGGAAGTTACTACCTCAAGGAAGATGAGGGCCAATGGTGGAAATATGCCAAGGGTAGAGAGGAGCCGACATGGAAAGCCTTTGTGGTTACTTTCTATGATAAGTACATACCTCCCACTGCTAGGGAGAGATTGAGGCAAGAGTTTAAAGACCTTAAACAACTCGACATGCCCTTGGCCGAGTTTGTGGTGATCTTCTCTAGTTTGTCCATATTTGCACCAGAGTTGATGGCAACAGAAAAGCCCTGTTGCATTGAATTTGAAAAGAAATTGAAAACAAAAATTATGTTCAAGCTTGTTAGAAATATGATTTGGGAATATGACCGTCTTGTGGAGACAATGACACACGTAGAAATTTCCATACAAGCCGAGGAGGAGACGCTTCAGAGTTTGAGGTCTAGGGGCCAAGAGT